GACGGTGGCAATTCTGGCGATGAAGGTAGCGGTTCTAGTTGCGGAGGCAGTTCCGGTGATGGAGGTGGTGATTCCGATGACACAGCTGGCGAGTCCGGAGGCAGAGCTAGCGAATCCTGTTTCTGGAGAGGCCCAGGGCCAGTATTTAGTGTGTTCGGCAGTGAATTTACTGAAGCTGATTTACTAGAATCCTGAGGGGTAAAACAGAAAGTATAGCGTTGGTTTAGTAATAAAGAGCAAAAATAAAAGTTTTATTAGAGAAAATGGAAAATATACGACGCGGAAAGATGTATGTAACACCTTGAAAATGTGCTGTGATTGTGTTTGTAATTACTGTACAGTATCTGTCTCTTATACACATCTAGATGTGTATAAGAGACAGTATATATAAAACGTGTGTCAATAAACAATGAAGAACGCTGTTTTTTACACCGACAAAATGGCTTTATATCAGTATAGATTGCTGTTTTCGCGTTATATCTGTAGTTTCGAATTATGCAAACTTGTCTAATGTTAACTTTTATAATTATTAGGTTATTTAGATCAGCGTCCTCATGCTTCTCTAAACAACCTATAATAATTATACAAGTAAAGAGTAGGCCTATTATCGTGTATAATTTTATAATGGAGTATCTCCGTATACACAGCCACATATAGAGAAAGTGACACAGTTTCAACTACGGAAGTTTTCGTGATTTTACGCAAGAGCTTGGGGAGCCGTCGAGAACGGCAATTCAGATTGAGCGCCCTATTGTTCAATGTAGTCTTCACGCTCTGATGAGCACAAAAACTACCGTCCTCCCTGTTGCGTAAAGTGCATATTAAATGGTATCACTGTTGTACTTTTCCTTTATGTAATATGCATTATAGGTACTGTACGTGCAGCCATATAACTTAATTATTTTCATATTTTTTATTAGTGAAAACAGCAAAAGAAATCATATAAAATAGAAAAATTCGTATCAGAACATTTTATTAGAAATCATAAATGACAAAAAATATACACTACTCCATACGCATAGGCCTATGCATCAATGAAAAACATTATTACTATAGTTTACAACTTTATCCCACTAGAAAAGATACAAATATAGAAATATTAAATACAAGATATAATACCGTAAACAATAACATAAAATAACTAGTTTTACAAGGAATAATAATTACAGTACTTTATTCAGAAGCCTACTTTAATATAATGCATGGTAAGCTACTTTATTGCTTTCCTAGTCTAAGGCGGTGGTGTCTGCATTTGGCATTTATGGCACCACGGATTATTGGCTCTGAACCACTTATCAATGCTAAATGTGGGAATTCAATATTAACTTGGTCACGAATAGCATTCATGATTTGTTCGTTCAATCGTTTAAATATCTTTGGCGTACCCTTGGAGTAGAAGGTACCGCCATTCAAATTACTCTCCGCCATTTCCTCTATAGTTAGCAAACTCGTCATTAAATTAAGCGTTAAGGAAATGGCGGAAGACGAAACCTCAAACACCTCCTTGTATTCATTGGCGGTCATGGTTATTTCGTTTGTCATGCCTATCGACACGCGATCTGATGTGCTGAATTTGTTGGTTGGTGCGTTTGGCTTTGGTAGTCGCAATGTTGTCTTTTGGTGTTCGCATTCGTGGACGAGACAACCATGGTGGCGAGGTAGGGGTTATGGGAAAGGGACGATAAATGTGAGCATTGTTGGATGTCCAGGGATTGTCCAGTAACTCAGAATTTAGTGTTGGGCGGTACCAATCAAGTGGATGTGAATTTGGAAGGTGAGTTTGAAGAGTGGGCGGCTGGTGTTGCACATTTGGGTGCGGCTGTGTGGTTGAGCGAGGTAGCGTTGATGACGCTGTTGATGATGATGATGAGTCCAGTGGCGAGTTCGGTGATGGAGGTAGCGATTCCGGTGGCGGTGGCAATTCTGGTGATGAAGGTAGCGGTTCTAGTTGCGGAGGCAGTTCCGGTGATGGAGGTGGTGATTCCGATGACACAGCTGGCGAGTCCGGAGGCAGAGCCAGTATTTAGTGTGTTCGGCAGTGAATTTACTGAAGCTGATTTACTAGAATCCTGAGGGGTAAAACAGAAAGTATAGCGTTGGTTTAGTAATAAAGAGCAAAAAATAAAAGTTTTATTAGAGAAAATGGCAAAAAATACGACGCGGAAAGATGTATGTAACACCTTGAAAATTTGGAAATGAACGTGCTGTGATTGTGTTTGTAATTACTGTATTATTTTAAGATTTTAACTTGCTTCGTGATTGTACTTGGAATTAACTTTCTATTATTTCATTAAATGTAGGTCTAATTACCAAAAATGAAGACTTTTACTTTGTGATTGTAAATTATAATATTATTGACCTACCTACATAATTTCATCAATTGAAAGTTTACAGATTGTTTAAACTGGATTTAGCACCAATAGGCCTATATTGTATTTTATGGATTATAATTGTCATCAGTTATTAAAATAGAAGTACTATAGCACTTCGAAAAATCTAATTCAAATGTGCAGGAAACTGTGAATTGCGTACTTACAATAAGCAATAGAGCTTTTTTTATTCCTAAACAATGGATACGTGTAACTAGGTAGGGTGGATGATCGCAAGAGCCATGGACTTTTCTTAGTTTTGGTTAAGGCCCAGTCAGCCAATTTACTTGAATATTGCTTTAATTCAATTTATATTTGATTTTTGTATAATGCAAATTCTAAGTTTAGTCATATCATTAATATATAATGCGGATTATTATGGAATTATTTTGGTCATGAGATAAATTAGATAGCCTATTTTTTACATTTTACACATATTAAGTACACATACTAATTACATTGATTCTGCTTGATTCTCCTTTATTTTCTTTTCATTTCAGAATAAAATAGTAGTAGGCCTACTACCATGAAGAAATTACGTTGTGAAATAACATCGGGGTACTGTATTCAGAGAAAGCGTTATATGAATGGGAGAACTTTAGAAGAAGAGAACTAAACCAATACATTATCTTAGGCCTATCTAGTTTCCAGAATTAAAATTATATTGAAAATCAACAGTGTACTTTTACACGTTTTTAGCTCATTAAGTGACCACTTAAGAAAAAATTGAGTTATCGTTATAGCGATATTGAACATTAAGACTGGATATATAACTGTAAAATTAAATACTGAATGTAATTATATGAAAAAAAAAATGAATCATAAATACGCATTTATTTTATTTTTTAGGATAGGCCGAAAGAAATTGTTGGAATGTTTTTTAAAAAGAAATTTATTGATATTTAGTTACTTATCAATAAAAATCATTTATTTGTCGAAAATATATAAATAAATCCACACACGTAAGGCCTATTGAAGAGATCACATTTTATAAGAAACAAAAATAAACGAGCAAGTTATAATTAATGCTGTGGCTAAGAGATAGTTATCGTATTATAAGGTATGGTAATTGGCATTACGTCAACTTCACCAAGTGCCAGAATGTGCGTGACGTTATCTGTCAAGATTGGCATTGCAGATCAGAAGGGAATAAGAGAACGATGGGTATATTATTAGAACAATAAGCAAAACGTACAAGATGATATAACGGTACCGTACCTTTTCCAAAGCATATAGGCCTATCATTAGTATACGCGTATTTAAATTACAGTCCTACAATGAATTACAAACAGAAAAGAGATAATACAGAATGAAGTTTAATTTGTCACTTACGTCTACAGCCTCCGAAGAATCATATGGCTTGTCGTCGCCCAACACTACTGTAGTTCTTTCTGTTTCTGCAACAGCTCGGCATTTGAATCTAAGAAAAGTAAAATGTAACAAAAATTAGCATAAATAAAAAAAAAGTATAGGCCTACTGTAAATTATTTTGAATGGTCATAACTGCCATAGTGTCCCCTCGACAAACGTATAAACAGGATAGAACAATATTTGTATTGTTTACTACGTGTATATCGAATACCACATCATCGTTCATGATCTGCTGTATCAAAACTAAGGATAGGCCTATAGAAAATGTCACATACCTGATAGAAACTTAATTACCCCAGTAAACTGCTGCTGAGTTGTCCAATTTGGCTCGAAATCATACATGTCACACCAACCAAAAATTAGTAATTTTACCTGTCTCAGTTTGTTCATTTATTTAATTTCAACATGTATTATGTCTTTAAGACAGTTTTTAATACAGTAGCACTAAAATTATAATAATATTAATAATAATGATGATAATATGAAAACATACCACTGGTTAAAGTATGCTATCCATAAACCCGCGGCATTCAAATTGTATTCTTCTAGTAGTTGGGTACCGTAATTAATTAATTATTTATGTACATAAACCTGGTTCTTACGCTGATAACTTGCACTAATCTACATTTCTTACTCTTAATAATAATACTGTATTGAGAACTATTGAGTCACAACACGATGGCGTGTAGTACAGTTGGTGTTACGTAATATAATGTATCTTTGAGTTATTAACGTACTATACAATCAGTAAGTTACTATATTGGTTTATACATTATGGAATACATGTGATTAAAGATTTCCATTAATTGTTCTGTAGTGACATTTTAAATTTTATTTACATATTCGTTTTTGGCGAGGTGCTCAATTCTCAATTATGGACTTGTTTTGTGCTCCGTGAGTTTGACGTTGTCTCTTATGTTATGCATGGAGGAATACAATAGGCCTAGGATGTAACAACAATTGTTTAGCGATATTGTACACGGTGGTGTCGGCATTTTATTGGATAATTCAGTTTACCATCAACAGCAACAAAAGTTAAGCTCCTATCTTTAGCCACGATGTAGTCCCCTAATTATTGAATGTTCAATTGTTTTTATTAAATATTTGTATCTAGGAATGTAATTAATTCAGTCCTTTTCATATAAATGTTTTAATGGAATTTTAATGTCTGATCATACACCTATTAATAGGTTCATGGTATGTATTGTATTTTTAATGGTTAATAAATTGTACAGAAACAGTGGCCTATTAAAATATTTGAACCTCTATCACGATTGAATGATATTTTGCGCTTACAAATAAAGAATAATATTGTTATTCTTGGAAGTCTTCTTTCACAGTCAGCCACTTTCAAGATTGTATCACAATACAGAAATTTCATTTCAATAAAAGTTCTAGGGCTCGCATGTTGCTTGTTGGGCACTGGAGGTCATTAGCCTAGTAGGCGGCGCATTCTATTCTTGGTGCTAAATGCATCGCACGTGACTTCCAACAGTACGCCCACAAAGTGCCCACCATAGCAAAACATTCACACGGTTCCGATATAAAAACCAAGCGGCTGCCTGCAGCTGTATATTTTTCGCTATACAATACAGTATACCTCCATGAGTACAGGTATATCGACGTTCGCTTTTTATGACGGATACACCAAACATATGTATTTTTCTTATACATTTTTAAAAACCTCGAAAACAGTTGGTGAGTTTATAATATTATGCGGACTATGGGCTATTATCATCATACCCATTTACTGTATATCAAATCAAACCAAAATATATTAAATACAATATGTAGGCTACACCGTTGGACACACATATGTGGTACATAGGTATTGAAAAACATTACTACAAACGATTAGTATAACACAAGATATCCATCGTCGTAACATTCCTAAAATATATAATTGGCTAAACATCCGAGACAGAAAAGTATTTAAATGGCATATTTTGAAGACGATTTAAGCAACGTTCAGACATTCGTTAAAAACATTCTTTTCAGAACTCTGCATGGTAAAGTATACCGTAGGCATTTAATATTTTAAAAAAATAAAAAAATAAAAAATCGGTAACATACTGTATAGGATAAATATAAATTAGGCTAAATAATAAAGCCATATAAATTAATGCGCTTAAAATAAATAAACATTATTAGAATACTATACTGTACTCTTACGATTGAAGGTTACAACAGACAATTACACATGACAAAAGAATCAGCGGTAGGCCTGTGTACGGTTTAACATCGCGAGAATAAACCAGCAATGTTGAATATTGAAACCTATATCGATAAATGGAATCTGTCTCTTATACACATCTAGATGTGTATAAGAGACAGATGTTGAATATTGAAACCTATGTCGATAAATGGAATAGTCCAAAACGTTGATGCCTATCTAACTGTACTCGTCGGCGACGCGACCAGATTAAGAAATATTTTTAATCCCCAACCACGCGTCCTCGTCGGGTATACGCGTTGCTTTATTTTGCGATGCTCCCTAATTCGAATAATTGTGGCGAAGACCAGACAAACCAGACAAATCACTTTTATGCAATAACAAATAAATAAAAAAAAAAAAAACAAGCAGAGTTTGGTGTTGATTTAAATGTAAGGTATGGGTTTACCCGTCTCCTTATATGTTTTGCAAAATGTTCAGCAAAATGATTTATAACATCAAACCATGCTTAATTTTTATTTGTAATTTGCTAAAAAAAAAAAATCACGCTTAGTCCTGTGTGTTATAGTTATAGTAGGCTTATTAGACCTATATGTGTATTGTGTGCTGATGCATATTTACATAGTTTAGACGTTTGACTGATCCCAGGCGAGAATTTTTATTGGCTAGCAAGAACAAGCTTTAAAACATTTACTTCCTTGTTCATTATGCCAATGCAATTCCTATATAAATTAATGGTTAATTCATGTGGAACTATGTTTATCTATAAAAGTTATGTAACATTACATAATGATTTCATAGACGCTTTGGTAGATTTTAGTGTAGCCCTGTGTTGCTACGCAGTAATAAGTAGTTCATAAACATAATTTATACTTTTTTATTATATAATATTATTTAACAATGGTTTATACAAGTGTTTTGTATTTGTATTATATTTGACCTGATTATATGAGAGTTACTACTATTTCAATAAGAATACAATCAAGTTAATCTATCTTAGCGCGGAGTGTGATTCCGCAGGTTCTTTGTTATGAGGATTAGCGCGTCTAATTAAGGAAAGTTTGTGGCACTGTGGCACAACAAAGCTAGAAGTCAATGGGTCAACATTGTGTAAAGTTTTGAGAAACTAAGTTTGTCAAATCAGAGTACTGTATTGCCAGTATTGGCAAGGTATCTTGTATTTATTTAACACATGTATATTATTTGTTAGCACTGTATTGCTAATGATTTATTTTGATTTTAATCTATGATTTTAAGTCAGCCTTAAGCTAAGCCTTATCATACTACAGTATAGGGAGACGAGCGGTATTTGCCTGTCTCAGCTGTGCACTGTAATTTGAAGTTCATTATCTGTTATTTTGTAACTCAAGTTATTATCTTGTGATACAGGTCCAGTAAGGATCATCAAGATTATGGAATGTATTATAACATGATAGTTGAATTAAATTGTTTAATATTGTAAAGAATACCAAGTTTTGTAACTGGTGGATGTAGGCCAAAGGTCATGCCAGCTACAGCATTACCATGTATTGAAGTGCTATGTTATTTTAATTAACAGGACTTTCTATAGGCAGGGCTAAATGCAGATAAGGTACAGAGTTGAAAGTATAATACATACTCCAAGTATTGAAATACACGCCATCGTGTTGGGATTCAATATTTCGACATTAATTATGTCATCATCAGGAATGAAAAAATTATCCATATTAGCAAGCTTATATGCACTAGTACCAAAAGTGTTTAACCAATCAAAACATTACCTCTAGTAGGTGACATAGCAGTGATTTAAACAAAAGAACAAAGCATTCTTACTCTAATGATCAAAGATACCTACAAAAACAAAGAAAGCTCTTTTGAAGCTCTGAGCCCATTGTTAAGCAAAGGGTGTAGTCTACGTATAGCGAACGCTTCTTTAAACAATAGGATAGACCAGTTTCGGGAGCTGTCAATAATGTTAGTACTAGAAAATATTAAACCTACTTTATTACTTCCATTACAGACGACATTATCATTTTCAAGTATACCCTGTAATCCTAAAACATATTGGAATGCCTCACAGTTTTTAACATGATCAAATATAACACTATCAGATCGTGAAGAGTGTTCTTTAAGTCTAGTTATTAAGCACCTATCAGTCTTACCAATATAATCACTATTGCAGCCTGGACATTTAAAATGATAGACAACAGAACTTCTGTACTCCTTAGGGGTTTGATCCTTAGTAGATATAAAATGAGAAACATTTTTATACTGCCACTAAACATTTTTAAACAGAGTTGCATCCTAGCATGAAGCTTGTGCAAGGTGGGATTAAGTTCATTTGTTTACTTTTATTCGATAGTTGTGTATGACAACTATGTGTTATTTTATTTCTTGTACCTTTTTATGATTATTGTGATTGAACTGTTACTATGAGAGATGTTATGATTATTATACTTTAATAATCATGTTAGACAGCACCTTTATTTGCTATTCTTACATTAGTAATTAATTTCATTTTGATTTAATGATTATTTCATTTTATGTTTTCTGTAAGGCAGTAAGCCAGTTGAATCATTATCAGTACCTTAATGGAACCTATGTTACTATCACTGTGCACCGGTTTATTGGTGTATTGATTATTAATTATTATTGTTACTTTGTAATTTTAAGCCAATGGTTTCTTACGAAGTTCAATGCCATAATTAATGCTAGATAATGAACCAATTGGTCAGTTGTGGTTGCACCTCACAATGGCTGTACTTTCATGGTTGCTATTATTGTTTTATGCTAACTAACTATTATTTCTTTGACTGTTGATATGATTATATGGATCTCATAATTAATACTACTTTACTTTATTTTACTAGCTTGATGTTTTCTGGCGTCAAGTTGGGGGTTAAGATATAGTTTGGTATAATTTCCTAGTTCCTATTCGAAATAAATAACTTGTCGTTGAAGTCAACATCATCTCTCTGACTGTTATTTCTCCTGTGTTTACATTAATGCTATACAATTTCTAATTGAGTCCATCTACTATATGTTTGTGACCCTAGTCTGATAGAAACCCACCATAACATCTATTAACAAAAGTCACCTGCTAACCTGATAGTAACCCAGTGGAATATTTGTAAGATTAATCATTCACAATACACGATAATGCAAAAAATTAC